TCTTTCGAATATGCTGAAAATTTGATAGGTTACTGTTAAAAGATCCTTCAAATTGTCAATAAAAAGTCGGCCTACATTTTCTATCCAAATAATGCTATTTGACAACCACGGTGCTAAGCACTAGTCCACTGTCAAATGAGATAGTGGTGTTACGTAGCATTCCTCTCAAATATATAGACTCGCATAAGTTTACTGATCTACTCTCAACCAGAACTCAAAACATAGTTGCACAATACATGAAATCTAAACACCACTACATTCATAAAGGCCTAACCCATAACTTCGAGAAAATGAAGCTTGTACTGATGCAATTTATGTTTTCTGTTACATTTCACAATAGAGAAAGTTAAAACTACTTTCTTAGTCAATTTACAAGATTAAAAGAAACACTAATTCATTCATAATCTAGCGATAGGATTCATTCATATTATCTTCTCCCACCATTCTGGTGCTTCTCTTCTAGTCCAGCTGCCTCCTTCAACATATCAGCTGCATCCTGATGCATATCCAGTTTGGCGAGGGCAACTGACTGCATGTAAAAGGCTGTCGGCCAATCTGGATAGATAATTTGTGCTTGCATTGCATCCCGAAGAGCAACATCAGGTTGATCACACATGAGATAACAGAGACTACGCCGTGCATAAATAGTTGGGGAAACCACAGTTCCCATGTCTATAAACTGACCACGCAAAAGGAAAAACATAAAGTTATTTGTCATTCCAAAGATTCACAGATGCAGGATTTTCATATATGCACTGTCCATTATGGCATAAAAGCTACATTATTTTTACAAGTAAAATTTATCAAATGCAAGCATAATTGACCATGCAAGAATGAGTGCGCCTGCCATTGTAACGCTTTTCCTAGTTTTAACATATTCATCAAAATTTTTTTCCATGCTACTTGGTGCACCTATCTGGCTTATCAGTTAAAAGAGTGCACATTAACTGTTCCAGGTAACTATGATGATTAATAATGGGTTGGTTAAGGTATTAGTACTTTTGACTTTCTGGATTCCAGCAAGGCAGAGCGCTAGTGAAAAGCATCGACATTTAGTTTCTTGATCATACATTTTTATCTTTATGTTTGTTTGGTCCTGGATTTTAGGTTACCGCCTATTCATAGCATGACTAGGTCAGGCCCACAAAGATCCAAATCATATTTCAACAATTCAATCACAAACATGGAATCCAAACCTGAGAGTAACAGTCGATTGCAGCCTTGAAGTCCTTATCACGAAACGCATAATCCCCACGTTTCCTTGCCTCCAATACGTCTCTCATCTGCTGTGTCCATTCTTGAAAAGACAACTGAAGAAATGGACTTGGTGAAATGAAATTCAAGGTACAAGGAATGAAACACATCCTAATTTGACAAGTGAGTTACCTCGTTGGTTACTTCATCATCCCGGTAGTTCATGGTAACCAAAAGTTGATGTATTGCTGTGAGGTCCATCCTAGAACAGGCCTCACCTATTGGTGAAAGTGGGCGTTGTGGAGTTGGTGGAGCTTCCTTGTGCTTAGCAATTCCAAGCATGATATAAGACGGAACCTGAGACCAAAATCATGATAGTCGGAATTTAAATCCACCAATCCCTTCTGTGTATACGAGAAGGAATGCGAGCAAATTTTAACCATTTACATATTATCTCTACAGTTGAGGATGAGATGCAATTTATCAAAATTAAGTAATTAAATTACACTGCTCGTTTAACAGTAATAAACACTCATGGTTCTGTAAATGAAAATCTAAATTTGCTTGGCAATCACATCTTCTGAAATGACAAAGTAGAGAATGAATATTTTCAACACTCTTAAGACGCTCGAGTGATGGGAACCAATTCAGAGAAATATGCTTATTACTGAGGCAGATCACTATCTCCATTACCTAGAGTTAACTGTTTCATTTACAGCATGATTAGCTTCAAAATAGAATTAACATGCAACAGTTACAAGTAGAACTCGTTATTGAAGTATTGATCAGGGAACCTCTGACTAGATTGTTACAAATAACAGTACGAAAGTTTTCCGGTTGCTTTTCCCCAATACATTAGAGAGAGAAAAAAGATTAAATATACAATTAGATTATTCTATATCTGTAATATCTTGCTTGATTCTGAGAAAGCTATGACAACTAGTGCATGTAAAATGTATCTTAAATAATATGGAGCTAAAGTTTCAGATCCTTACATCAGATTTTGGCTGTTGTGGAGAAAGAATAGTGATAAGATCCTTTATATTTGGCCTTTCCCTAGGTTCGTTTTGCAAACATTGGGAGGCAAGATTGACAACTACTGTAGCGTCTTCCATAGAAAATTTCCCCTCTAAATGCGAATCCATCAAAAGAATGATGTTTTTACCACGTATCATATCAAGAGCCTGCATACGAGCAGAAATAAACAAACTATAGCAGGATTCATCATAATTTAAGCTACACAAGCCTCTCCAATAAGAAGAATACAAGTTCAAAAATCAGAAAAGGAAATGGAGAAATTTCTGAAATCGAAGAGATGCAATCATGCTGAGGCTGTTGGGGTAATAGTGCTCATCTTTTAAACAACAAAGAAATCCTCCACATTCTAAGCCTTATCATTGAAAATATCTTTAACTACTTTATAGATTTGAGCATTTTAGAATAGCACTTGTTGGGGAGAAGATTGAAATCTCATATGTTAAAAAAAGCAAGGACTCCATGCCTAAACCACCATCATTAAATGGATGCATGCTTTGTAAGAGAACAAGGACACTGGAAAACAAAAATCAAAACTTGTTCAAGTCATTTAGAAGTTATCAATTATCTGTAAACTAACTGTATTGTATCTCATAAAGCATCTGAATATTTTAACAGGCAACAGTTTCATATATTACACGTAATTACTTAATGAGATGCAAATGAGATGGTTCCCTTCTGGTAGAAAAATTGTAGAAAGCACAAGAGGGGGAAGTAAAAATAATCATGTTCTTTTTTCTCTAATGTTTTTATTTTTGTTTTTATTTATTTTTAACTAAAGGAAAAGGGGTTATGAATCTGTCATATTATTGAAATCATAGACATAATTTTAGCAACCTTTTCTCTTTCAATGGATGCAAGAGATATATCTGCAAGAAGTACCATGAAGCCTCACATAATCAAAATATTTTCTATGAGCAGGAATCAATACACTTGGCACTATAGAAATAAGAAAGGAATTAAATTCTTTTACGGCAATTACTAACGGTTATAATAGATCATATGGATTTATAAAACAATACAGGTTTTAATGTGTATTCATTGAAATTAGTGCCCATATTTGGCTGCAACAAGTCGTCAATATGTTAGACCATATCAGTCTATACAGGAATAAAGAGGCGTAAAAATGTACAACAGATGCCACAAAATTATGTCAAGACAATTAACTCACATGACTTGGAGGGATGTGCTTTCCACTGAGTAGATCCAATAGGACAGTGCCAAAGCTGTATATAACACTTTCCTGGGTTACTCTTCCTACAACGAACAGATTACAGTCAATTAAGAGAAAAAATTCTAGTCATGAAACAAAGATCAATCATTATTCCACGGAAAAAAAAGAATCTTGTCAATACACAATTAGAACTAACAACGCTGACCATAAAAGCAGTCTAAAGCTATATAAATATATGCTACCTAAGATAACAAAATTAGCAACAAATATGAAAGTAGCAGCAATGAAGCAAGGCTTATGTCACATTAAGCACTACATCAATGCAGAAGTACTTACTCAAAGGCTCCCAATTTAACCATGGGCATCATGTCAATTGCTCTTACTCGAAGCACCTTACATAATTGCTTACTAAGCTTAACCTGAGGTGTAGGTTTAAGAGGAAGTGCTTGTGTCAAATATCTCAACACCACTTATTAGATAATAGTATAGAAACATCACTCAGTAAGAATGTGTTGGGGCTCTGAGAATATGAACACCCAAAAAACCACTGATAAAGCATGAATATACTAGTTCAATCGTGGTCATGCAATAAGCATGTGTTCCAGCTTTGCAAATATGATGACATAAGAATGTTTCAGTTGAACATATGATTATTGTGAGCAATTGACTAGAAGCACAATAAGGCTAGATAGATAAACACTTGCACATTCATGGACATGCATAGAAAACAAAGTACTTTCCTACAATATAAATATAAACTCCATCTAGATAAGTGCTCACCATTTTTTAAGTACTCTGGTGGGGTGTAGGCAAGATTTGTGCTATAACTTTTCCCATCTCTACTATTTTTCATCAAGCCAAAGCATGAAAGCCGAGGATCACCATCCTACAATTCCAATCAAATATTCAAATTTTAGGGTTAGAAAAAATTTAAAATAAAAAATGAATTTGGGAGAGCTATATTTATACATCATTTGCATAAAGCACATACTAAGAGTGGTGTTCATTAGAAAGGGACTTGTGCTAATACCTCATCAAATAGAACCCTGTAGGCGTTGAGATCATGGTACAATGAATGGCCTTCACTGCCACAATATTCCAAAGCTTCAGCTATGTAAAGAGCTACTCTCAAGCGCATGGCCCACTCGATGGTCTGACTTTCCCCTGTTAAATTGGAGTATGTTATGAACAAATTTCGCTGTAACTTGAACACACAGAATACAGGTCAAAAAGACTCATAGTGAATATATATGCATCAGTTCCGCTCTTCAATCTCCATTAAGATAATATTCTTCTAACTTCGCCCATAGTTCTATCATACTATGATTGATAAATGCCACTCTCACTTCAACTTATCTCCAACAAATATTGCACAAAATCTAACTTATAAACGTCCGGCATCCTAGGAAAAATAATCAAATTTGCCAAGTTATCAGCTCATCGTCGAAAAAAGCCAAGAACATAGTAATACATACAGTGAAATAAATGCTTAGCAAGATTATTGTTGGGCATATACTCTGCAATCAGCAACCTCTCATCACCTTCACAACAATAACCTATCAAATTAGCCAGCCTCTGATGCCTCAATTTCCCTACTCCCCATGCCTCCTCCTACAACCAAAAAAATAAATAAATAAATAATTACAGAGTTGAATTATTTTAAAGTATCAGAGACAAAGCCCTCGTACAATTAAGGACTAGATCATTAATATATACACATATATACTGCAGTTGTAATAATATAATACCGCAAACTGTTGAGGGTCTGGCCAGGATAACTTGGGGAACTTCTTGACGGCGATCCACCGGCGGTTCTGGAGGCGACCTTTATAAACAATATTTGGCGCCTTTTCACCACTTTCGGAGACAATAAATTCAGGGCTGAAGTTATTAGTGGCTGTTTTAAGGTCGGAAAGTGAGAACTCCGAGAAAGACGGGACTCCGGTGGCTTCTGTTCCAGGCTCAAGTGGACCGACGGTCGGGATCGGTGGTGGGAGGGGCCGGACGGGAGTTTGGGCAGGCTTTTCTTTTTCTGGGTGTGTCTCTGTGGGTGGAAATTTTGATGCACAACAGCCCATAACTCTGTTCAGTTTCCACACAGATCACTTTATCTTCTTAACTTCTTTGTCGCTCTCTATTCGTGAATGGCCAATCAATCAATTACATTACATGCCGCGAATCAGTGATAGATAGGACTTTATGGCACAGATTAATGTATTAATAATAACATTAAACAATCATAGAAACAAATAAGGGTATCTGATCTGAGTTTCATTATGAACAAAATAGCATTATTACTTATGAAAGAAGAAGAGAATTCAAAAATGAGGTGCCGAGAAATGCAGCGAAGATTACATTTTTTGGATGGACGTGACTGGACAACATCACCAAACTGAGTTGTGTGTATTCATTTCATTGGATTTGGAGGCATACGGTATTGTATAACTGGGCTGAACATGTAATTAAGATTAACTAACGAGGTATTAATTAAATCAATTTCCACCTAACTTTACCATTCTATCATTCCTTATAAATTTGTTACCCACGATTGACCAGAAAGTTTAAGTGACGCATTTACTCCGTTAACATGTCCACTTGAACTAAAAATAAAATGAAAAAACCCTCCGCAATAAAAATAAAATAAAAACGAAACTGTGGCCTTAAACCCTAACCCATATCCAAATCATTTACAAGCTGAAAGGCTTCAAAATTGACGTCTCCAAAACATAAGATCCATAGGTACAGGGCCACACTCTCCTCCTTAACATTGTTTTAGAGTCGTGCTATTTGTGCAAACTAAGTTGACAAATTTTGCTGACAAAGCAACATTCGGGGCAATCTTTTTTAAATCAATGGACTAGATTTTACTGACACTTACTTTGTGAGCAAACTTTATACAGCTAGATTAATTCTATTTTTTAAAAGTGCAATCTCTAGTAAAAAACAAAAAGTAAATTCAAATGTAAATGGGAGGATGATAGTTGGGGGGTTTTTGATTTAGGCCATTTTTTGTTCTTAGTTTGAGGGGTTATTTTATTTTATTTTTAATTTAAGTGGACAAATTAACGATGTAAATGCGTCACGTCATCTTTTCATCTATACACATGGAGTTTTCCGTCAATTGTAGGTAACGATTTTGAAAGGAGTGATCAATGGGTAAACATTTGAATAAATGAGTGAGAAGTGAGTAATAAATTTTTTTTTTGTTCCATAAGCAAGTAGAGACCTAGGGTAAAATTATGTGTGCATCGATACTCTTTGTTTATTTGCGGGCACAAGCAACATAGCGAAATTGTTCGGAATCAAGAATCATTTTCTTCATGTCATAGAAGTTCACTTGTGAGAGATTGAGATTTCTCAAAGATCTAACTAGTTCATTCAAAAACTAGAAAGGAAGGTACAATCTATCCATATCATTCAGAACCAAGCATAAAATTCCTCTAAATTCCACTTCGTTTGAAGGACATGCTACGCCTCACCCTACGTGGCCAAGCCACTATGGCTGTGGACCCACTGCCATTGAGGTGCCCTGTATAAGGACAAAGCCCTAGGATTAACTACCAAAGTGAAGCAAAATGAAGAAGTTGCAAAGATGTCGAATCCGAGGCTCATTTGCGAAGGACGGCCTGCATGCAAAAATCTTGAATTTATGTATAAGATCCATTTGGAATGATTGATGTGACCTGTGCAATCAATATAAATGTCTTGTCTTGTCATTAGGATGGTTGCTATGTGTAAGAACATTAAATGCGCCGCAGACTAGGAAGTTAAAATGATGGCTAGGATTAGATGCTTTGGTTGAGAATATGAGGCCACGTATATTTACATCTGAGGGCCATCATTTCATTCGTAATACTATAAATATCCCCTCTAGGTAACATTTGGGGAATGATGCAATTCCAAATATTCCATTCAAATCAAGATATTGAAAAGCTACCATTTTATCTTCTCTCATATACATTTGTTGGTTAAGATTGATATTTATTGGCTTTCTATGAGTTCATAGCGATTGGTTATTATTGCACAATTGTTTTAGCGGATACATTGCTGAAACCCGAGGAATATTGTCTCGTGTCGTAGAGTTTTTTTTGTATCCCATCTTGCAATGATCCCGACCAGTGACCAGTCGAAAGAGTGTTGGATTTACCTTACGTGTACATGAACGAACCCACCATCTGTTGCCCTAATAAAAAAGGAGGTCAACAGATTCGCACCGTTTGTGAGAAATCATACTATAACCACGAGACTCTCTGTAGAAAAAGCATGTTATCAAAAAGTTGGATATACCCCTTGAAAAAGAATTTGTTCTTGCAAAAGAACAAGAAAAAGCCCCACAAGTTGAAAAAAAATTTGAGCATTTTAGATTTACAAAAGATAAGTTCTGACCATGACGTTCCTCCTAGGAGAATAAGAGAAAATGCTAACGAAGCTTCACTTGTCGCTGCCTCGGTACCTAAACGCCGACCCCACCACCATCACAAGCATGGTGGGATACAGCTGGCCACTCAACTTACTAAGGAAATAGCCACCATGGCAGCCAATATGCGAAGCATTACCAACCAAAACCTAGCCATGCAAGAACTACTGATGCAAATGTAGGGCTAGGGGTATCAACTAATTCCTCCATATGCGCCCCAGGATGACGAGGTTTAGAGCAAATGGCCCATCCTCCAAACACGTTAGGGAAGTTAGTCCCATGGAAAGAGAAGTGGGAATCGATATTTCCTCCAACTATGCCTCCAGAGTACCTATCGATGCACCATATGGCATGGAAAACAACTTTCCACAAGAATACAAACCAGAGGTTAGAACTAAAAAGTCTAGCAACATATTTGACATGATAAGCCCTGCAGAACCGAGGTAGAGATAACTTCATCGATCCCCAAGGCCTCAGAATAAGCCGCGACCCTTACCTTCTGCGACTTGGCAACCGGTGGAAAGGTAAGAACATGCCCCCCATGTTGGCCGGACTAGGAATAGGCGTCAAAGGAGAGATGAGGCGGTTGGGAATCAAGCTAGCCCATCTAATCCACTACCAAGGTATTAAGCTGCTGATGATGATGATTTAGATGAACCCCAACATTCATGTGATCTTGATGACGATGATGACAACTTACCCTTTTCACAAGAATTGAGAAATACTCTAGTGCCAAGCCATTATATGATGTCGAAAATACCAAAGTATGACGAGAGAGGCGACTTGGCTAAACAGTAGGTACAAAACTCACACGAGCCTGCAAGGCACCATCTTGGCTGTGAAATGCAGAGCCTTCCACCTAACGTTGAGTGAAGTGGTAGAAATTTGGTATAGTAGGCTACCTTCTAGAAGTATTAGGAGTCGGGCGGAGTTCAAAGACACATTTTTTAAGAGGTTCGCTATCAGCAAAGAAGGGGAGTCTCACATTCAACGCCTCCAAAACATGAGACAACAACCAGGGAAAAGCTTGAAATGTTTTTTTTTTTTTTTATCTCTATTCTCCGATGAAATGACATAATATGTGCAAGTTACTGATCGTGAGGCCCTATCAGTGTTGCTTGGAAGTCTAAATATGAATACTCTATTCTAGAGAGATGTGCAAAACTAAGACCCGACCACCTACGATGCATTGTTGGAAATGATGAGGAGAGAGATTATCAACGAGGAGTTTCTTGAGCATAGAAACTGAGCCAGTAGAGGCCTTCAAACTCAACAAAGGCAGCGTTGGAGAGGACCTACCTCTCATTTGATAGATCACCAATGGAACCAAGTTGGTACTGATATTGCCTTCAACTCGGGACAGGCACTCGCTACAGTCACTTTAAACTCAATGCCCACACTGGTCATTGAAGACATAATTTTCGAAACCAATACCCAACAAACAAGGCAAACACAACAGGCCTCCCAGAAGAAGAAAAAGCCAGGGGTGAGGTTCAGGACCTAGGGATAGGTCAAACTACCCCGAATATTATATTTACCATCATTTTTTTAGCCATAATATGGTAGATTACAGGGATATCACCAAGTACCCCAGGAGGAAAAGTCCTTGAAATGATTAGATGAATGATTTCTTTCAAAGAAATAAGTCCCCACCGAAGCAGGATCAGCCTCCTTGGTGTGAGGAGGCCACGCCCCACCGTCGGGAAGTATCCCTCGAAGGGAGAAGAGAGTGTGAAGAAGAAAGACAGAGAGAATAGCAACACATATGCTATCAAAGTAACGTAGGAGACGCTCCAATCAATGAGATTAACATAATCTTTGGAGACCCTTATATGAGAGGTGAAACAAGGAATTCACAGAGGAATTACACTAGAGATGCTAAAGGCACCCCACATACCAGCTACATAGTAAATAGTAGTCTCGAAGAAGTTGATCATTGCCAATCGTATTCA